AACAGTACAAAAAGTATTCATCAAAATATATCATATCGCCAATCTGATTAAAGTTGGATTCAATTGCGAAATTTCCCAACCAGGGTATTTGAAAAGGTGGGCGAGGCTAACCGCTGGACCACTTCATTCAGCAAATTAAAGTCCTGATTATATCAAGTTCTAAATGTTACCGGTAACACAGTATGAGTAAGTTTAAATAAATTAGGGCAATATGACGGATAAGTCAAAAGAGTATGGCGATGTAGGAATAGTGTGAGGATATAGGAATTGAGGTTGTTATTCCAAAGGATCAGTTCGAAATTATCATAAAAATTCATCTGGGTCTTGGTAATTTTTATCTTAGGCACCATATTTGTTGAACAATCTAGCTGTTGAATTAATTTGATCATTGTGTAGCAACCTGAAAAACAAATGTGTCTAGATATTTCATTATTTGCGGAACACACTGACACTGACTATAATTTCGAGAGAAAAAAAATGTTCAATTTAATTAAGAAAGTATTGATCATTAAATGTTAACATTATATATTTACTGTTGAGCAATCGCAAAAGAAGTCTTGTTTGCGCCACAGAGGAAATTGTTTCCAAATCATTCAAAATAACTAAATTTTGTTCATATCTAGACCTTGCCCTGTCACGAGATCTTGTTTTCTGTTGAAAATATCATATGGGATAGCAGAATTAAGTTTCAGCATATTACCAAAAATGATTCATTATCAAATATACAATATCAGTAATAAACAGAAGTCTGCATGCATTAGTATGTATATATTCAGAAAATAAATTATATGTGAAGGGAGTACAAGCGTATGAGTCAAAAATGTCTCTATGGAGAAAACTAGTGTCTGCCTGGGCCAATTTACCATTTATCACGATTATGGCCTATACGAAGACGGCATTTTACAAAAAAATGCTTCATTCTTCATTTCTAAATGAATATACCTATTCTACGCAATTTTTGAATAGTGAGGATAATCGAAAATTTTGATATATCTAAATTTATGGAACTAAAAAAAATATTTTTAGATAAAATATACCGGGTTGGAGAAATTACATTTTTACAAGCTCAGTAATAAACATAAAACAATGCGCATATATTTGATGAAAATAAAAATAAGTGTTGGATATGGGAAGTACAAATCGGAATTTGGGTGTATATGAATTTGTACAAACGTTGTATTTTCATAGCGCCAAACAAATCTAACTGCCAAACAAATACCAAACTATTTCAGGATATTTTTGAAAAAGCCAGAAATGACTGCAATCAAATAAGGCTACTCCAGCACACAATATATGTGGATATTTGGATTCTTGAAATGCTTTATTTGTCATTCAAGTTTTGATTTCAAAATGAAGGCACTGACATTCAACTTTAACAATGTCATGTTCATTGTTAAAGATTTGAAAAATCTAGTTGGATGATTACTTCCATTTGACCATTCCATTGTGGGATTCTGTAATCCTTTTTCGGACACGTGAGTGTACATAACTATCGTTTCAATATTATGTTGTTGTTCTTGTTATTATTCTTCTCCTTCGTCATGATGAAATTGCTTTTCTCTTCGAATACTGGACCAATTGCTTTGAAATTTTCAGTGATTAAAGATTGACTTTTTTGTCAGAAGGCTATAACTTTTATTACTTCAAGAGATTCGTTTTTATGTGTCTGAATTAAAAATAGCGACACCTTGTGACGTGTCCATATATTTGAGCATAGCTCTCTTGTTAATAATAGTATTGGCCAAACAAATATTGCCTAATTACGATTGTCATGCTGTGTTTTGCCTCCCTCCCAGGGCCCCACCAATCCCCCAACCTCCGCCCAAATCTTGTTTATGTAAGTGTACTATATTTTTTTTTTTTTAATATTGGAAACTGACTAGGATGAAAATTCATCTGCAGAACAGACAAAACCATGACGGCCTGGTTTGCTAGTGCTGCAGTCTTGATAATAATAAGATATGGAGTAATGATTTAGTTTTGTGTTATGGCAGCATTGACAATCATGAAAAGACTATATATATCTGGTTTGTACCGAACACAAGTCAGATTAAAAATACTTTTTTTGTCTAAAGATTTCCTAATTTTACAAACAAAATGGTATCAAAAATGAGTAAACAAAACAATAAAAGAAATTTCAAAGCATTATATTTTTTTTGCCGATTCGTCATCGATTTCGTCAGTATTTGTATAATGTGTCTATAGGACGAATATACGTTTAGAAATGGAATGGAGGGTGAAATGGAAAGTTTAAAATACAAATGATGATAGAACAAATATTTGTTATTATAAATGTATTATATATGTATGTTTACATAACGGGAGAAATATTATTTCAAATTTTTCATAGCAAAACCTCAAACGAGAATATCGGTTAGAGACCGAAGACTTATCGATCGAAAGTTAGGGGATCCCTCAAGACAGCGCTCTTACTCCATAGTGACACCTTGTGTCCTATCCCTAATTAATTGATAACTCGCTAAATATACGACATAATTCGCCCAAAATCAATAGGCAAACTCTGCAGCAGTTTAAAATACAAATAAATATAGAATAATGATTTGTTATTATTATTAATGGTCAGCTTCATAGAATTAAAATGGCCCATGTTAGAATTTTGCTTAAATCTTTGTCACCATTTTATGAAGCCTCAAAAAATCTTGAAAGCGAATACTATCCCACCATACAAAAAGTTATTATATGGCTTGATAAGTTGAAATGTCATTTACAGGTTAAGTTTAATGACTCAGAGTTGTTGAAATTCTTGAAAAAAAAATGTGTCAGGCATGCCTAATATTAAAATTTAAAGTTCTCGATATACATGAATCTTTCAATGCGAAAAGCGCCAATGCTCGATTGATGATGAATTTATTGATTGGCAAGAGTGTCTTGAGCGGCCACCAGTTATGGATGAAGTATCGCTCGCTTTATGTTTCTTCTTGTTTTGAAGGACCAGAAACTACGCAATCTAATGAAGCTTGTAGTGAATTCAACATATATATCAATTTTTTGGTGATTGCCCAGCATAAAAAAGCGATTTTCATTGCTTTGTCGATTGGCAATAGGTCGTTTATCTTTTCCTGCATCAAGTGGAAACACAGTTACCAGGAAAAGAGAAAATTTGTCTGCAGCTTCAGTTCATTCCATAATTATATTGCATTCTAGCATGAAGAAGTAGCATGCATATTATGCATACATTTGTACAAGACTCCAATGTTTTATATTTTGAAAAAGCGATAGTGTGATTTTAATGTTAAGATGTCTTTGAATGCATTAAAATAGAGCTGACTATATGTTACAAAAATTATAATAGGCAATTGTGAGCTATATTTAATAAGTCGAAATGCATTGACAGCTCAGTTAGATTGCACTGCTTAGATATTTTGGAAATTCATCAAAGCATCACAAGGTTCACTGGTGTAATAGCAATTAAGGAAGTTTTTTTAATTTATTATTATTTGCATTTGGCGTAATTTAATTGTAACTTTAACTTCGAGTTTGCATGAACTGCTTGGATTACAAAAGTCACATAAAGTACCAAAAAACTGGCGCGAACAGGAGTCATATATTTCCATTTCGGAGTCAGACTCCGATTTTCATTTCTGTTTTTGGATCAGGACGAATTCGAAGTCTGAAATTCTTAACTCCGCTCATCTATGATACCAGTACTTTTTTATTTTGGCTTTCGTGCCCATATATTTGAGCATCGCTACCTTTCTAATTAATATGCTTGGTAAAAACTTGCTTTTACTTAGTCCACTTGGCGAGTTCTTTTGGAATGTCAGAAATTGATTTGGGCATTGATGCCAATGACAGAATTTTTGGGTTGTTTAATTATAGTGTTCGAAACTTTAACAAACATATGTACGATTACAGTTTACGCGACTTTGAAATGTAAATATATTAGCAATACTTTAAATATTGATTTCAAGTTACTCCCTTTATTTCTCTGGTTGAACCTGAACTCGCATTGCATATATAAACAAAAATAATCCCAAACACTTGCCCAGGTTCATATAACACATGATATTCGGTTGTACATTCTACGTACATACAGCCAAGTATATTCATATGCTCTCTATCGCAAATTTTTTCCTCTCCAATGATTCTTAAAACAATCTGTTAGGACAAGATCAATGTAGGTCACGATTTCCAACAGAGACAAGTTTGAAAACAGTATTTATATTGAATACGCCATATATTAACATGCAAACAAATAGATGCACTCAACTCAAACCCAAACATCGGGGTAGGATTAGTATTGCGATGACAAAGACTGGTTTTATTGCCAGGGACATGCGTACGATATTCAATCCACACGATGCTGATTAAATTTAAAGCAAAGATCAGCAAATATATGAGAGTACAATTTCTTGAGAGCCAGATAATAAGTATTGAAAATCCGAACGGGAAATATACACAATACGATGGGTTCTAGGGAAATGTGCGATAAAGCAAGTGCGATTTTTGATTTCCGAAAGGCAAATTAAAGTGATTATCGCACTGCAATCACAATGACATTAGTTGATAAAATGAAAAATTATCAGGTGGGAAAAATATTGGTATATTTGGAAGATGTAATCATAAATCATTGTTCGATTCGGTTACTCGTTCATCAATCGGATCGAAAATATTTCGAAAATTTCAACATTTAATAATTCTTGATATTGCAATTTTATTCCTAAATTTGTAAAAAGACTAATCTATTTGCATAAAATTATTGTTTTAATTTTTTTTCAAACAAAGTTCATTTGTAAGCAATTCCATCAGATTTCTTATACTTTTTTCAAACTAGAGAGTGTTTCGATATTTAATGTTTAATTTATATTTATTCACATGATAAGCTTGTGTGCAAGAAAAACATTTCCAACCTAAACAATTAGATGCTTTTGTTTCATTTGTAAAAATTGAGAAGCCATGAATCGTAACATGCTGTTGCAAAAATCAGAGATCTATTTTTAAATTGAAAAATTGCATTCATCTCTCCGTTACTTATCATATTTTACAATTTTGCCTAATGCAAAAGATTGGCCCTGTTTTTTTTTCCTTGATGTCCGTTTCAACTTTAGCACCTTTATTGTTGGAAAAGTTGCGACAGTGATCTATCTATAAGGTTCTATTGAGGATCGAAAAGCTATCAACTGATGGCTTCGAACGTATTTTATATAATGGAACTCTTCCTTGCTCTTGCTTGTTCGTATTATCGCAATTTATGAACCCATCAATGGGCCAAACACCGATTTTAGCCACTCTTAAAATGTCACCTTTTTGAACATTAATCTCACTCTTTTCTTTCCTCGATGAATGGTCAGATATTCCAACGTATGGAAACATTACTTCATGAAAGTAATACATATCGTCTACTGATTGCCACCTGGAAGATGCGTCGTGATGATTAAACGTTAATAGTTCGTAAACGAGACGACATATCTGAAAATACATAAAAATTAGATTTCTTTTATTGAAATCATCGCGTTGTCCAACCGACTCGTATTTATAATGATAGTGAGAAAAAATATTGTTATAATCAAATTAGCAAACAGAGTACATGGCACCTACTGTAAATTTAAAATAAAATCATTGTTGTAATCAATGATTTTTTTTTTAATTGAACTTTACAATTATTGTAAAATGTATACTTTTTCTTTTCATAAAAAAGAGAAAAAAGGTATTTTTCAACTACTCACATTAGAAGACCCTGTACATGCCACAAAATCACATAGTGAAAGTAGATATACATCGGTGACTATTCCCTGAAGAGCATTGAGTCCTCTTTGCATAGTATCCGTTGGAGTTGTGAGGAAACTGTACGAGGGATATCTTGATAACAGAACAAAAATTATTGATATGTCATAATTTGGTTCGAACGGAGACGATTTTAAGATTGAGCGACTGGAGAACGCCCGGTAGAATAGATAAAAATTATGAGTTTATTTTTTGTTATCTTTTGCACAAACAGAATCGACATACATCAATTTGTTTAAAAACTCAACTACTCTACACAATGAATTCATCTTCTGCTAGAATTTTTTCCATATTAATTTTAGGAAAGTGATATACATACGATAATTATAAACGAAAGACATTTCTTACTTCGTTGTTAATTCCTGATAAACTTTGTCGTCATCGGTTGTCACATATACAGTTCTTTGTTCTATATTTTGTTCGTCAAACCAATTTTCAATAAAAAACATATATTCTTCAACTTCGTGCTTTTTTGCTTCTCTAATCAGTTTGTCCCCACGACGAATATGCATTCTGGAAAGAATTTAATTGAAATAAACAAACAGTATGCCATATTAATTTTGTTATCAATATCGGTAAAATTAAAAAAATAATAGTTGTATATATATTCTATTTTAGTGTTTAAGATTGGAAAATTAGGGCTTTTCATGTAGTTAGTTATTGATCCCCCTACCCGGCTATGGGATTAGTGAATTTTATTTTCTGGGCGGTTCCGTTAAGTTGATTCACAAATTCAGGCCTCATTCTCATCGCATATCCAATAAATTGCGCAATCCACCAAGCAAATGGATCCGCATGATTTTGAATAATATCTTCAGCTATTTCTTCTGGAATTGATATAAAGTCGTATCCAGTTGGGTAAACGGCATCACCATTCACTGTTTGTGAGTTACTCTGACCTGGAAACAAATTGAAACTTTAAAAAGAAAAATTCAAGGTATAAAGTTCACAGACAAGAGAGCAATGCTCAAATATATGGACACTAAGGCCAGAACGAAATATTCTTCCACACATTACCCCAAAACCATGTCATGAACGAAGCTGGATCAATTTCAATTAACGTCTATCGTAGGGTCGAGTGTAATTTCAATACCACGTGTACTTGTCGGCGTGGGGTAACAGTTAACAGTTAGCAGTTAACAGCGATAACAAACTCACTAAAGCAAGCAATTTTGCTTGTTTTGACGTGATTGTGACGTCGCAGTTATGTAATTTTACGCCGATCAAAATTAACGCTTTTGCTGCCGAGGACCACTATAGTAGCCCGAAAACCGACTCCCTTCCTTGCGCAATATCTCGAAGTTAGATGAATCAATTTTAACAATATGCACATCGACAAAATCTGCAATCAATTGCCTTGATAACTGACAAAATTGTTATTTGAAAATTTTTTAAAAATTGAGCAAAATAGACCTGAATTGTGGATAACAAGCCCACTCTCTTTGTATCATGCCTTGTAGGCCACCGACCAAAATTCAGGCTTGTCCATGGGACACATTTTCCTGTCCCATCCCATGGGATTCTCATTGAAATAAAATTCAATAAAAATTGTTAATTTTAGGAAGAGACATGCGACACTTGCGAAGAGACATGCAAAACAACAAAATTTACGGACTTCGTTAACTTTATATTCATAACTATCATATATAGATGTGTCCATCAGTCTCTTCACGAAGTATATTGTTAATGCAGAATGCTCAAATATATGGACACGAAATCCATAACAAATTGTTTTGTCATCATTTCCTTGAAAATCGTACGGTTTTCCTGTTCCACGTGTCCCATGGGAAATACAAATGTGTGCTGTTCCATCGAATCCCATATTCCCATCTGTAGGGATATTCATAACCTTCGACCTGTTACGACTTTAGAGGTGACGCCTGCGATTCCTTGCTCTGAACGTTGACGCGTCCAGGCCTGACTTGCAATGTTTCTTGTGGATTAAACGCAATATAATGGTGTTTCGTTGCTGGATTCATCGAAATACTGTTTTCAGATGCGTTGTGGTATTTTAGTTTAGATGTACCGTAGGCCTCCATATGTGAATACCGGTACCTGAACGGGATGCCATATTGATCTTCATATCAATAACTTGGATAATATTGATACAGGTACCGTAGCCTGACTCATAAAGCTGTAAAGTATGCTACAAGAAGAGAATTTTTTTTTCAAGTTATAAGGTAAGATTCGATGAGTTTTTATTATTGTTTACAAGCAGTGGTGAGATTCAGTCGGTTCTATAGGAACGTCTCACGAAATTTTATGAAATCAGCGAACCGGTTAGCATTACTGAAAAAACATGACTTTTGTAACAGAACCAGTTGAAAAATATGTGACAGAACCGGCTGACAAAAAATTTGAATTCCACCACTGTTTATAAGTAATAACACTACCAGACTACCGATATGCCTTCGTCGGGTGCGGACGTGTCAGCTTGAAAATACTAGTGAATGCTACGCGTTGTATGTTTCGGTATCTGTAATCTGTATCGCGTAATATCAGCATCAGCAAAGCCCATCCACTGCAATTAAAGAAGTTTATGGATAAAAGATTGGATTTAAAGTTAAATGGTGGACGATCTGTTACGGGTATATTGCGAGGTTTCGATCCTTTTATGAATCTAGCCGTGGACTCCGTTTTAGGTCTCAGCTCGAGGCATGGAAGGGTAAACAGGTGAAATACTAGAATTGAAAACTAAACAAAAAGTAATAGCGCCGAAGATAACAACTTGGTTAGTAGAAACAAATGGAATACAAAAATTAGAAACAATCAACATTCTAAATGATGGACAACGAAATAATAGGATTCGGATAATAAAGACTACTTTGGCATTGCTGTACTGGCTACCCAAGATTCCAATTTTACATACTTGCTTCGCAAAGAACTAAGGAAAAAGAGATGGACATGCATTTTATGTGAAACATTGCACCTAGTACACTACAGCACATGACAAAGTCGGATTTTATTTACAATGAGGAAATCAACCAAAAGACATTTCGATTTATTTATTACTCATTCTGACACTGCTTTTATCTAACTCACTAGTTCGCACTTGTTTACGCCAATTTAATAAACACAGCCCGATCATGTATGTCCGTTTCGACGTAAACAGTTTTAAATTAGAACATACCGCACCTGCATTTTGTTTTGTAACACAAGTCAGACGCCCAAACGCTGGAACGATAATACGTTCGTGTTTTTATCTTTTTTTTGTAATATGTTTGTGAGTGTAATATCATGGGTGAACAGGCACATGTATTTATTCGTGTTTTAAACCCTAGTCGAGGTTTTGCCTGTTTTCCCTATTTCCCATTATTCTGTGTGTTTGTTTAGTGTGTTCATTATTTGTTATGTGTATGTTTTTTTGGGGAAATCAAAATAAAGATTATTATTATTATGCCTAGATAAAAAACTGTGCGCACAAACAATCAAGTACCGCCAAAGTTGCTGTACATTGATTGAAATATCAAGCCAACTACTAAAGAATATCTTAAAAAACACTACGGGGACACTAAAGGGGTTTAAACAGACTACTGTGTGGTATACCAAGTTCACAATTACTGACTTCTGAACTAGCATTTCCTTGCCATGTTTATACTGGAATTGTTTGGGCAAGGAGTTTGTGATGTCAAAGAAGCTCTTACAAATATTAAAAATACACAAGTTGAATAAATTCCATTGAGATCTTAGCTGGGGATGGCACTTACAACAAGAATGATTACTATTCTCAAGGGTGTAAAATGCTGAATTGTCATAGGAAATTGAGATAGTACAGTGATTTTGTTATTTGAACCTTAGGAAAACATTGCAAGTCAGACCTAGTCGCATCAGCGTTCAGAGCAAGAAATCGCAGTCGTCACCTCTTTTTGCATCGAGTCGCAACAGGACAAAGGTTATAAATGTCCCTAATGGGACGTTTCCCATGGACAAGCCTGCCAAATTTCATATTCATACATTTTATAAGCAATAATTGCATAAGCGATATGATAAGTACGGGCGCCACATCCAATGACGTTGACCGCGACGCACAGCTGGAGGCCACGGTATCGGCGACACGTTGTGGTTACGCAGCAACGTACAATTATCATCGTGACGTAATATAGGTGAGTCAGATACAGGCAAAAAAAGGAGCAAATTTTGCCAACTTTACCGCTTCGTTGCTCAAAAAATTCTAATGCAATTATATGCGATTTTTTTGCATTAGATTAGATATCTTGGTTACCCAACTGTCATAACTAATTTATTGTTTTTCATAAAACGGCACTATCAATCGCTTTATTTTTCGTACCAGTTTTTTAGGGAAAATAAAACACATTTATCTTTTAATCAAATCTCATAGAAAACAAATAATCCGATCATTACATAGCTCTGAAAAAACTAAACAACTTTCATATTTCGTTTTTTTGTGGCTGTAACTGTTTTAAAAACATTGCCGTTTAAAAACATGACACGCAGCGAAAGCGTTTTAAGTGTATGCGCTACACTAGCCGAACCATATATTTCTATAATGTTTAGTCAGACTTCCTCGGTCATACGTAATATTACAGGTATTGATATAATGCTAAATACTTGTATACGTGTGTAATACTTGTATATTGTGTTTCGTCACAATCACTGAGAGGGGCAAAGAGATGACTCCATCCTTCAGGATCATATTTCCACCCTTTCATATGATGAATCATAGTTCTTTGTTGTTTAAAAGCAGGTAAAAAACATTTGAGTATGGTGTGCAACTCACTGCCAAAACCAGCTTGATTTACCATATTACATACATGAACTGATGCACTGTTGCAATTAATAGGATTCTAAACAAAGAAAACAAACATATATTTTCAGTATTAATCGAAAATAGTCCCACGCAGTGAACAATTATAAAATAGGGCTTCTGCTAACATGAAAATCTTTGTTGGTCACGAAGTGTACATATGGATCGTTTTGTTATGTTGTTCATCTTGTTTGTATTTTTTCCTACTTTATCTTGTGACAAAACCTTTTTTCTTATTAACTACTAGAGCAATGAACCTTCCCCGAGCACCGACTTCTTTGTTTACTTTCGTGACAATGGCCAATCAGCAAGATGCAAAAAGTGACGTAACAATGCTCTCTTTTCGCATCCGCTCAGACACTTTTCTCACTCAGACAGATTTTCAAGCGTGGTCGTAAACATTACCTCGTTTTGGGTTTTTGAACTAGTTTTCAGTTGTGTTTCGGAAACTTAAACATTAATCAGATAATTGAATGATCACTCTGTCTTACTGGGAGATTCATATTTAGGTTGCAGTAATATAATATTAGTGTAGAAATAACTGTGATAGACTTAGGCTAAATTCTTTATTGGTACTTTTTAAAAAAACAGATTGTTTTATGCGATAAATCATAATGATGGTTTAAACACATGCCCCAATTTCACAGGCGCCAACTCACAAAAGCACTCTTAGAATAGTCCCGAAAGTTTTGTAATGGTTAGGTATAGGAAGAATTCTTAGGAGGTCAAAGGTCGGGAAAAAGGTCCATAGCTTTATATTATTCTTTAGTGGTTGCAGATTGCGTAAAGAGCTTTATTTTTATTTATTTCAAAAAACTGGGCTCTTTCTCTCTATACTTCACAATGCAAAATTTTTGACGTTTATTTTGAGAGTGCCTTGGGTATTTGATGCCTACAAAATGGCCCACCATGTTCAAAACTATCCTTTTTTATTAAAAAGCATTATTCCACGTGCGACTAACTGCGCAGGTACTGATGGCTAATTTTAAGCTAGTCCATCTCAAGATTTGCGGAATCAATCTTTGAATTATTGCAAACTGAACTAAAAGTACCCGGAAGAAATAATGACAACCAAGTTATTTGAAACGCCGAGAACGAGGCAATGTTCACAAACCATGCTTGGATATCTGTGTAAGCGAAAAAGGTGTCTGAGCGTCTGCACAAATTCCAAATGTTCCGTTCATCGTTACTTCATTCTGATTGGTCATTGTTGCGGACATAAAGAAGAAATCGATGCTCGGGGAAACATCCATGAGATTGTTTTTTTTTGTGTGCGATAACGTAATCGAAATTAAAACGTGGGACCTATTGGCGGTTCCACGTTTGCTGCTGTGTCTGGTGGTCAGGCGAAGTCGTTAAGACTGCGGTACCGTTAGCAAACTATATCACAGATTGCATACCGTAATACTTGTTTTGGTCTTTGGACCATATATTTGAGAATCGCTGTCTTCTTCTATAATTTGGATTTACAATATCGACAACGGTAAAGTGAGTATTCAACTTGAGCGTTAAACTGGCATGAGTATTTGAAAAGGAGAGTGATATAAGCATAAATATAGGCCCTAGTGCGTCGCTTCAATTATGGCTTAGGGCGTCGCGACACTTTTTGTTTTCTTCTGCGTATTTACGAATTTAAAAGCTAAACTTTTTTTTAATGGGGTTAATACAAGCCATAATAAATCTAAATTTCACAGATAAATTATATATATAAAGGCTGTAAATTTGACACTTGAAAAACGTATTAATAAATTAAGGGTTGAATCTTGTCCCTTTTGATAATTTTAAAAGACTTGACGTGCGCGATTTGCATTATGTTACAATCGCCGATTGTTTTCGTCAGCGTGGGCGGGTTTTTTTTTAAACCTTAACATCTTTACGTCGACTTTTATTCTCTTTTATTTTATTTAGTGATTGAAAAGCGGCATTATGGATGATTAAAACTAAAACCTAAAACGGAGATAATACTAAGTTTTGTTTCAACAAGACTCACGACAGATTTAAAGCTTTTTTAGACAATGCAAATCCCAAAATTTTGGTGTTATGTTAGATTTTCTTTGGTTATTTCATCGTAGTAACTGAAATCGAAACAACAGTCCAATTTATGCGCGTGATGTGAACTTTTAATCCAATTTTCTGAGACTACCGACGAGCCGCATGCAATAAACATGAAATTGTCAATCGTTCGTATTTTGCCAGAACCTTGTGATTTTTTAAAACGGCGATATCGGTTGCGAAGAAGTTTGAGGTGGCATTCGAACCTTGCGCGGTCGAGTTTATGGTTTGCAAGAACGGCTCAAATTTTGTCAAATTGGGCTAAAATCTACCACAACTGCCGACGCAATCACTATGTTACGATTGTGAATTTAATTCGGGGAGGGCGACAAATATTCTGTAGTCAAACTACTGGGCAGACCGCTAGTAGGTATGCTTCTGTTGTGGGCAATATGATGTTTGTTCTAATTACCCGTTATGATACAGCGTTGTTCAAGATACACGGTAGTCCACAAGAACTTCGTTTCACTTAACTTTGTTTCTCGTTTCATGTCCCGCGATTGCCGTGGTAATTTGAGAAGTAATGTATTTATTCCATTGAACACATTAACCCATGAACGGTCATTTGATAGTTCCCGCCATCGGTCAGTAGATTGTAAATTGTATTTTTGAGTTTACGTCAACCTAGGGTTTTTTTTGTAACGCCGATATCTTTGCCTAAAATAGATCTCGAGTGGAAAGAAAAATTTGACAATTTCCAGTCGCGAAATATTACGGTTTCCTAATTTATTTATTTGTTGCATTTATCACGTATTTTATATTATTTTCAGATAGTAATGCTTTTTATTTTAGTAATCCTAATAGTTAATCTTCGCAATCAAACGTTGAGTACGATGAGCCCATCTAAATCTTATTGACGAAAGACATTTAATTGTTGCCTGCGCAATGGTCATAGTGATTGGATATTTTGTACGCAACAGAATCCTCGTTATCCCACTGAAATTTTTTTTTTCAATCGCGCAGAATGTTGAGCAAAAATTTCCGATTCCAATTTTGAGCCCCTCTCCCTCTTAAGAATCCTGGCTGCGCTCATTCTTATAAACAAGAGAGCTACGCCCAAATATATGGACACGTCTGTTCGCAGTACAGTACGGTTTACCGTACCGTCAGATCACAGTCTACAAATATATTTACATCAAGCGAAGCAGTACAGTAGGACACAAAATGGCGTCCGATGTCCGCAGATTGTTTAATGACGTCATAGCAAACAAAAACGAATCTCACAGAGCTAACAAAAATATTTGAAATAAATAAAAGTAATAGCCTTCTGGAGAAAGATTTCATCTTTAACCAGTAAAAATTTCGAAGCAATCGGTCCAGTAATGAAAGAGAAAAGCGGTTTTTTAGATTTTCCACTAGATATCCAAAAAGTGTCAAAGAACAACAACAACAACAACAACAAGACCAACATAATATTGAAACGATCGTTATGTCCACTTCGTGTCCTATAATGTTATTTCTGAATTCCGCTTCTTTGCCATATTTCGAGGCTATACTGTTGTCAAATTTTATTAAAGCTGTTATTGCTTCTTTGAACAATTTCAAAATTAGCAAAGTCAGTATTTTGAAAAGTAATAGAATAGCACGCGGAGCACCTAGGTTTCTCCCGCGGAGCCCGGGGGCGAGGGACGAGTGAAGAGTAATTGAAAAGTTTGTGAAAAGTTTGATGTCTCCAGGTTTAACTCAGTGATTTGTTCTGATTTATTTAGATGTAACATTTGAGTTCTCCCATTAGAGTAAATACTATACTATTCAAGTTTCTGGCGTTGTTTGGTGAGTATTCGAAGTGCCGCTCGCTGCTCAATAACCAGTATTGGTTTTTCGCGTCTTTCCTCACCCTGGAATGTTTTATTCTATTTTACCCTGTATATGCAATTTACGACGTATTTTCATTAATGATGGAAAAATGAATGAATGACTTCCAATAAATTATATATCTGTTAAACTTTTCCAAAATTGACTTTTTCAATTTTTCATTCCAACTATGTAATTAACTGAATTAAAATAAACTGGAATGATTAGTTTTTTAATTAGAGGAAATTCCTGACAGAACTGAGGCCCAAGTCCTAGTTCTACATTCTGCCTAACTTACACTGTCTTCTTTTTGCGACACTAAACGATTTAGGTAAGAAATATGTTAACTAGAAGGGATTGCTGATCCAGTTTTGCATTTATCCATGGACACGAACAACATCAACGAATTTTTGCAACGAATCAAACGTATGGAATCGTTTTGTTAAATTCTTGGTTTAGAAAAATATGTTTTTAAACTATATATCTTTAAACTATATATATCTTTTTCGTGGAGACTATTTGGTCAATTTGTACTCACTTTGTGATCTGTTAGAATATTCGGCAACTTATATGCGATGATGGCAGAAATTTAGGTTATCTTGTCTGAAGTATTTATGAAAATAACTATCGATAATTCAGTTATTTTACGAAAAGGAATTCTTATTGTTAACTATTCACATTACCTGCAGTTTGGCTATTTTTCTTGGACGTACATCTGTAAGTTATCCATATTTTTACGGGCGATCGTTTCAGATTTCTTCAATTACATTTTTAAGTTCTTTCTTTGATTTCTTGATAAAAAAATAATTTTTATAAAAAATCGGTTTTCAAAATTTGATTTTTAATCTAACCTTAGAATACGAAGTCATTTTCATTTTATCAACCACGACCAAGCACTTATTCACTCGACTTCTAGATGAATATTTATCTAATCTCACAGGGCAGCTGAAATTTATAACAGATTAACTAATTTAAATCAATAGTCTCGTTTTCTGTTTCCCTCGTGTTGATTTAACAAAATAAAATTTTGTTCAATGCTTGAATGCCATTAAGGTGCTATGACTTAGCAATTACACAATATAAGTAACTCACATATATCCATGTGTTCACAAATTTTGTGGATGTCGCTTGAAGACCTAATCTTTTAATTACCCGATGATATATATGCAACCAGTAATATTTCAGATCAGAAAGAAGGTTTGAAGAATGTAGAATTCCGTGAACTGAAAAAAAAAAGATTTAATGAAAATCAGTGAAACAATATTCTCTAAGTCGCAAGGAAAATAGCCGGAACAAGATACTGTAAAAGTAATATATATGCTAATTAAATCATAGACAAATTACACAAAGACGCTAAGTCGGAGTTTGTAATTTTGTTATTGCAAAGCTGGGAGTCGTGGTTGAAGTTCTATGTATTTGAATTAGAATGTTCTCAAACCGAGAGTCAGTGAGTCAAAACAGACAATATTTTGCAATTATGTTTCCTAAATTTGATCTTTTTTGATTCTGAGTCGTTGTCAAATTGTTATTTAAACCATAAGTCTCGGGAGCTAGAATCCATTTTGAATTTCTGTTCAAGCCGGTCATATTTATTAGTCAGCTGCTTGTTCATTTGAATTTTCAGCCTGTAATTGCGTAATATTTTGGTGGGTCGTTATTTTCAGGGTTGATGTAGTTTTATTTTCATTTATCAAAACAAAAAATTTAAAGGAAGAGATTACGAGATTTCGAAATATACAAAATATGACAAACCGATAATTCATTTGAACTTATGAATAACACGGTTTCCTCTGCTCACCACGTTTTCAGATTAAGCATTTTAAAACGTGTAAGAGAGATTTTCTTTGCTAATTCGACTAGGCCAATAAATATTTCGCGCTTTTGAACTAGGTCTTATTTTATATTAAGGGGGAAGGCCTTATATTAAACATTCATTTTTTAAAGGATTCAAGTGCCAGCGTCCTTATTTTGGAAAAACCACCGGGATTTTTATTTGGTTACTGAAAAAAATAATGTTGCAAATGTCAATAAAATTAGTTAAGGGTGATCTAATTGTAAGCCTTACTTGATACACGGCCGGAGACCTCACGCTCGAGTTAGTTGGCTGGAACCAGTTATAGACTCTAATCGTTGTGAAATTTTACCCTATTCTGAAGAAAAATTTCACCAAAACTTGGCTATTTGCGCTTCTTCAAGACAATTGAAGTTTTCTATCTATCACATTTACCCATTTAACGATTTTTTTTATTATTGATGCATAAAAATCTATTTGAAGAAGGCGGCGGTGGGATTGTGTGTAAAGTTGGGATCGAATAGTCAAGCAAGTTACAAATAGTTAACATATTTATAGGTGTGTTGTATAAGTGCGTTTTATTGCTCACACGCGATTATATAGTGAAACATCGTTAATCTCAGTGTATTCTTGTAAAATCAATGCTACCAACAATGTTGAACCAAATGAAACCACGCCTTGGCAAGACTGAGACAAGAAAAAAGAATTTGGAATATTGAACAAATTTCTTCAAGATCTTACAACGTGATGTCTAGACAAAACAAATAGCAATTTCAAGTGAATAAATTTAATGTGTAATGAAATTGATCAATTAAAATCATCGTGCCAGTGATTGATTGCCACTCATTCTTTTCAATTGATTAAGTTAATGTACCGCGATTATGTTTTCAGTAATTCAACATCAAGTCGATAGAAAAGTGTAGAATTACTAATTTTCAAGAATCCTTTGTATTTTTAGTATAATTTGAAAAAAAATTTGTAACAAAATTCAATTCTTGATCACTCTGCTCAACAAAACAATTATGTAGAGTTTAGCTATATACATACTTCATATCTAAGTAAAATTAAAAAGACCTCACAGTTCATCGAAGTAGTCGTCGCTTCTTCATTTCAATTTTATCGTCAAAAAAGTTTCCAATTTCTTCATATCGATTGTCCAAAACACTGTTAAAAATATGGACTAACAAAATGAAAAAAGAGTTTTATTTGTTCTTTAACTTTAGTGCGTGCATGATTGCCACCAGGTAAACTCATGTTGATAACAAATGAAGCACAACCGGTGTTAGCAAAACGATGAGGCAAATTACTTCGTTTTGCTAACACCGGTTGTGCTTCATTTATTATCATAAACTTTAGTGTGGTTAAAAAGCGTGTTTCGGGATTTTCTGAACTCATCGCATTTTAGACTAGTAGTTTTGACCAGCATCAACTTAATGATGTGATCCTGTTGATAAAGAGAGGTGAAATAATTTCAAACGCAGGAACAATTGCAGCGTGCGTTAGCAGACCCAAAATGTGTGAAACTTACGTATGAAATATGCGAAAAAACATGTCAGATCATCGCATGATCTGAATAAACAAGTGCTTTATTGAATGTTGTTCAGCATGTGAATTGAAATCAAGTTGAATCGGGTGACTGTATTATCGTATAGATTATCAATATAAAGTGAGGACGAACATAGTTTGATGCAAAAATCTTACTTGAAACCGTCCTGAAGTGCCGATGCATATTTTTTTCTTTCTTCTGTCGCGTTTTTTAATATGATAGAAGAAATTGATTTCCAGTACTCTTTGAAATTTTTTCGCATGATTTGTAACAGTATTCATCTTCCAATTTAGAATTTTGATTCTTGATTTTAATTTTCGGGAAAAAAAAAGATTTTATAAACATGCACCGCGTAATGGAAGGGCCGAAATTAAACTAGTCATTCTGATCAAGGCATTAGAAAAAATCATGGAATCATCAAACTATTAATAGTAAAAAGTATAAATAGTTGTTTCTAATTTGAAAGGTTTTTTTTAAAACTATGTGCCGATATTTTAAGCCAGTTTGAACACTTTCAAAATTATGATCTATATAAAATCAGACGAAATGCTCGACAACAATGTACAATGCTTGACAATTTTGTAACAAATCATTACCAACAAATGATGATTAATACATGATGATGGTATTTGATTCCAAATCTTTTGCTTAATGTGACGTGATGAACATGGGGAGAATGAAATCGTACACGACGGATATTTATTGAAAACGTACCTTTCGCTATTAGACCGCTCATTCGTCAGCGTTAGAGATTTTAAAGAAGGTACAATATCCCGCAGCTTGTCCGTGTAGTTCACTCTTAAAATGAAATGTTTCATATTTCAGAAATATTAATATCTTTGGAAGTTGCAAAACTTGTACAGTGTCATTGTGTTTTATTTCTCGCTTTATAAAATAAGCATTTGATATTTCACTCCATCAATAATGATGGTACAGATAAATAGTCCTAACATATGAGGAAGTATAAAAGATGGACTATAAGATATTGCGAATGTCATCCGGTAGTGGTCTAGGCCAGGGGACACAGCCTGTGGCGTACAAGAATAAATCTGCGGACAAAATTACGAAGACAAATCAGATCTTATAACATAATTAACAGAGCGAAAGTACATGGCATGTAATTTACAACCCCCTTGACTTGCCCCCAGCTGTAGATTAAAACAATCCGCCATTCAAATTTATAATTGGTATTCATGCGACCGGCTATAGGAAAATGGTTGTACACACCTGGTCTTGGCCTTATTGGTAAGCATGAAAAATGTTTTGATGCGAATATTACTAAAATGTTTTCCTCGGAATTAGACAATCCCAATACAATATTTGAAAAGTATGGAATTAGCTATAACGACTTTCTGTCGCTGTTAGTAAAATTATCCTTATCAGTAAAATATTTGTCACGAATTTACCTGTTTCCCGAGAATTTTGTAACATATACTGTTATCAATAGCGTAGAAAAAACAACAAAGAAAACAGCTTTTCCCCTGGAGGTGAAGGTGGAGACCATTTCAATCAATTAACTTTATTTAGATCTTATAATTGTTCTAAATTCCTGTTAAAGATATGAAAACGAATTTAACGTTAGTCAATCCTTCAATAATAATACTGTAGTGCGCAAATGAGACCCACAAATTCAAAGTTTATATATGGAAAAATATGAATTGATTTTAGTGTAACAGTTTTAATTCTTGTCAATTTGGTAATCTCCTGTTTTTAGTTTTATTGAGCTCTCTATTTCATATTTTATTTAACAATGTCAACAATTACATTCTTTGCGAGTGACCTTGTGCTTTATATAACACCCAGATTTCTCACATAGGTATAGGCTTTCAGTCGGAATACCCAAATGGATAATGCATCAAATTGTATCTATACTGCTCGTGACTGTAATTCTTACATACACCTCAAACTCAACATTTCCTTCCAAGTTTTCCCTTCTAAAAACAAATTAAGATGATTTTTTGGTACATGACTTACAACAAAAAAATAGGTAATACCTACAAAGTGAATTAGTAAAACAATATTCGCAGATATGGTATATCTACCAAATACTCAAAAACAAGAAATATCGGAGGAATGAACACTTTATTTAAACCATAAAGTAAAAAACAACATAAGCTACCACGTTTTCGATATCCAATGTCATTCGGTAATTTTGAACCAAATATGTCTGCTTTGGAAATCCAACCATCGATCAAATTAGACGAGCATTTCTCATAATTTAAACTTTCAGTATTCATTTACAATATTTCTTTTTATCCAAGAGATGAAGACCGACACGTTACCCAGCTCGGAGACTTTTCAAACAAATTGAACCTGGACGTTACTTTATAAATATCAAAAACCGTATTGAGATCAAATGCATATTTTTGGAACAATCTCATTTAACGTAACATCAATTTATTTGGTTTCAACTTGTTAACATTATCAAATGCATAAATAAACATACCATAACCTATCATTTTAACATTGAAAACTAACATCAGCTCTAGGATGAGTATGAATACTATAATATTGCAAAAGTAAATTAAATAAGATGATTCTAAAAGCTAGGGTATATATATATATAGGAAATAGAAATAACATTGATATATAGACTTGCCTCGATGTGTACAATGTACTATACCGAGAAAATACACAGTGCTGACCAGCATGAGCACAATGTGCTCATTGAGGCAAGTCCATATCTCAAAGTTATTGCTATTTCTATCTATACTGAGTAAAGTCACAGTAGTTCTACTCCAGCGGCTCTCAGTTTTGGCTGAGATGACGTCCCGTGTCATGAAGCGATTCGACTCCACTACAGCTGCAACAGGAAAAAAAGCATGGGCCGTAGGATAACCATATACTAACCATGTGTAAAATCAACAAACATTTCAAATAACAGTTACTTCTGGCCTTTACTTTTTTGAAATATTTCTGACATAGAAGTTATATGTACCTTTCTAATAAATATATTCTATTTCAACGACAAACTGACAACTGAGGTTACTTGTAAAATATTCAAATGTACGATATCAGTACACGCCACTTAGAAATTCAAATAAAGATGAGGAGATTATATTAGCAATACTTAATTTTTTAGTTTTGCGATATTACATTCATCAAAATTGTCAAAGTCGTGCTGAAGCACTTGATTTTGTGAAATTTGAGAAGGTATATATGCCTAAACACTCAATCCAGGTACATAAACATCCCACGTGATATCCATGTTCATGGAGCTTAACTAAACTAATTTGAATTATTTACATCAATTAAACATATATATTAAAATACATTAAGATAGCAATCAGTTAGGCTGAAACCGGTAGGACACTGATATCAGAAAGAGGCAATTTTGAATGTAAATTTTCTTTTACTTTACAAGCCTTAAACAAACAGCAGTTCTCAATTGAAAGCCGGGCCTCGAATTATTAATCCTATTTTAATGACAAAAGCCCTTGTTATTTACCCAGGTTATGCGTGTCAATAGTCATTTGCACAATGAAGAATAAATTCTATTCAGAGAACAGCAAATCTATACTGCGCTGGGACTCACTATGATTAAAAATAACGAAATTATTTGACACGAAATGGACATACAGATCGTTTGGTTATTATGTTGTTGTTGGAATTCTTTTTCTTGTTGTTATGAACAAATCGATATTCTCATTACCTACTGGACCTATTATTTTTACGAATTTGAAAATATTTCGTTATTTTAGGTTCTATATACTTTGCCACGCTTCATTGCAAAATAACATATTCAAGCTCATACTATTCACTGTTATATGTATCACTTGTAAGAATCGTCCTGTATTGAGAGTATGGATCGTTGCATCTTATTGTATGAAATATCACTTTTTAAGTAAGATACTATGAACATTCATATGTATAATATTTTTTTTGGCCAATATCAAATGTAATACGGCCAATAATTTAGGTATTCTACTCATCCAATTGAAACATAAATTTATTTGATTCAAGACCGGAATATCTAAATTCTAAAGCATAGATATATTGAAAATTGTGTGATAATTGAGAAAAACAACGGTCGTCTTTCTACCATCGATCACATTTTCAAATATTGGGAAATTCGGTTTCAATTTTGCGTTGGGAATGTTGCAAAGGAGATCTACGGAGGGCTACAAAAAATCGAAAGACTATCTACAGATGGCTTCGATCGTAGTTTATGCCATAGAACTTTTTCTTTCTCCTAATTGTTGGTATTGTCGCTATACATAAACCCATCTATCGACCAACTAAATAATGAACAGAAATAGATTTATTCTATTGCTAATCATATAGTAATGTTAGAGTAGTAGAGAGGTCCAGCAAGCCTACCAAGTTCCGTTATCAGAATAAATTTAATTTTTTTTTTCTGTTTCAGCGAAAATTTGCGCAAAGCAAAGTCGTACGTAATGAATACTGATATCCGAGCAATACTGACGATCACTGATTTGCCAATAGCTTATATATATGCATTTTATATGCCGCCTGATGTTGACATAAATTTCAACTATCAAACCATTTTATTTCCATAATCATTCCCTTGAATGCTCTATCCATGTTTGACATGTTTCGTGTTTTCATAATTGTATGTTAATTGTTGTAGTTCAATGATAAAAAATCAAACCACATACCTAGTTTTCTCTCCTAATTGTTACTGCATTTTAAAATCTGCGAATTTTCATTTTATGCAGTTCATTATCGGCAAGCTGAACCGTGACTGTATATAGAATCTTGAGACGTGTACAGTCGAACGAGCCAAATCAAACTGAAAACTTTCACCAGCGAATAATTCTAAAACTAGTTGTTTTGTATTGTTTTACTCGATTTCATACTTGCATGGGCACCAAGATTGAACAATTCTGGACCCTGTTTAAATAACCCACATCGATCTAATGCATGGTATGTTTTTCAGATATATATAACAATGAATAAATCGGCGCTAAAACCGTTTTGACGAATCAGTATCAGTCGTACGAATCTGTTAAAATATCAACGAACAAGCCAAGGTAGCTATAGCTGTGACTGTGTCAATAAATTTCTGTGCTGCATTACGTGTTTGTTCAGAAGAATGATACGTTTTAAAATATGACCAGGCACAGAATGTCGTTTTCGCTGGTAAAGTAGATGAGAAATAAACTTGTTAATGCCGGTCTTCGGCTTTCGAAGCACTGGATCCAGTGGGCAGCATAAATAAATTTTTAATAAAGGTTTATCCAAACATTTTTATGCATAAGAGGGTATTTTTGTGCCAATATAAAATTGAAACGTTTAAAATAAATAATTTGCTTTTCAGATGCAAAGAAAAAGGTACGTGATTCATGATTAGAATATATAACTCAGAGATGTATTATTGATATTCATTAAATATTCATTCTGTTAACTTTAATTTCAGTTTTGGAAGCTGTGCTAACTTTGCGTTGACAATTTTGCGGAAGTATTGCATGAAGGTCAATGCAGGATCGGGAAACTATCAACAGATGGCTTCGATCGCATTTTATACAATGGAACTTTTCCTTTCTCTTGATTGTTGGTATTCTCGCAGTTTATGAACCCATCTGTCGCCCAACCACCAGTTTTGGCCACTTTCAATATTTCACCTTCCCGAACACCAATCTCTCTCGTTTCTTTTCTCGCTGTATGGTCAGATATCGCAACGTAAGGAAATACTGCTCCATGAAAGTAATACATATCGTCCACTGATTGCCATCTTGTAGATGCGTCGTGATGATTAAATGTTAATAGTTCGTAAACGAGACGGCAAATCTGCAAAATTAACAGAAATGAGATTTATTTCATTGGAATATACCGTGATGTCCAATCGGGTATTAGGTGTTAGTCTCTGGATTTTTAATGATGGTATGTAAGGAACTTTTTATAATAGAATAAGCAGGCAGTAGATGGCACGTAATGCAAATTTAAAATCATTGTTCCACAGATGCATTTGTTTTCATAAAAATCTGTATATTTCTTCTTTGCTTAGAGAAAATATTTTTCAGCTACTTACATTGGAAGACCCCGTACATGCCACAAAATCACATAGAGAAAGTAGATATACATCGGTGACTATTCCCTGAAGAGCATTGAGTCCTCTTTGCATAGTATCGGTTGGAGTTGTGAGGAAATTGTACGAGGGATATCTTGATAACAGAACAAAAATTAATGATATGTCATGATTTGGTTCGAACGGAGACGATTTTAAGATTGGACGACTGGAGAACGTCCGGTAGAATATATTGAAATTATGAGTTTATTTTTTGTTATCCTTTGCACAAACAGAGTCGTTGTTTGACATACATCAATTTGTTTAAAAAACTTAACTACCCTACACAGTGAATTCATCTTCTGCTAGAATTTTTCATATTAATTTTATGAAAGTGATATACATACGATAATTCTACACGGAAGACATTTTTTACTTCGTTGTTAATTCCTGATAGACTTTGTCGTCATCGGTTGTCACATATATAGTTCTTTGTTCTATATTTTGTTCGTCGAACCAATTTTCAATAAAAAACATATATTCCTCAACTTCGTGTTTTTTTGCTTCCCTAATCAGTTTGTCCCCACGACGAATATGCATTCTAGAAAAAAAAATTGGTTTAAATAAACAAGCAGAATTTTAATGATTTTACTTTTGTTATCAATATCGATGAAAGTAGGGAATATTGGTTGTACACAATATTTTAGTGTTTTAGGCTGGAAAATTAGCGTTTTTATGCTGTTTAGTTTACTATAAATGTGAGGTCTACAGTAGAGCAATGCTCAAATATATGCACACAAATGTCAAATGATTGATGTAGTGTCAGCAAAATTTTATACAAGTGTTGAAATAATTGTATCATAAAGTCATATGGAGGTTTGCATCAGATGCCATGTAACAGAGTACTCGTGAATTAAGAGAATGGCTACTACAACAATAATTTAGCAAAACGATCCATTGATTCACTTCGTGTCTAATAATATCATCATCTCCACCACATATGACATATGCTTATGGTGGTAAAGAAAATGATTGATATTGGTGAAGAATTTATGATCCTCCTACCCGGCAATGGGATTAGTGAATTTTATTTTCTGGGCGGTTCCGTTAAGTTGATTCACAAATTCAGGCCTCATTCTCATCGCATATCCAATGAATTGCGCAATCCACCAGGCAAATGGATCCGCATGATTTTGAATAATATATTGAGATATTTCCGATGGAATTGATATAAAGTCGTATCCAGTTGGATAAATGGAATTCCCATTCACTATTTGTGAGTTACTCTGTCCTGGAAACGAATTAAAAAAATCAAAGTATAAAGTTCTCAAATAGATGATGTATGTATAGAAAAATTCAAACTATTTGTATTATGATCCAACTTATTCCAGTGTCTTGCTACAAACTAGCAGAAACGTATATTTTTTTAATATTACGTCAAAAAATTTCAGACACACACAATTTAACTGTAACAAGTATAGAGATGACATGATGTCGAAAATGAATTTTTCGGGAATACCTTAAATTGACTTTACCTTTTACGTTGTAGTAGGCTAAAATACAATACATTACAATATTTATATAGATTCTTATACCTGTATAGTGTGTTTCGTCACAATCACTTAGTGGGGCAAAGAGATGACTCCATCCTTCGGGATCATATTTCCATTCTTTCATATGATGAATCAGTGTTCTTTGTTGTTTGAAAGCAGGTAAAAAACATTTGAGTATGGTGTGCAACTCACTGCCAAATCCTGCTTGATTTACCATATTACACACATAAACTGATGCACTGATGCAATTATTAGGATTCTAAACAAGGAAATCATACATACATATAAATTTTTAATCGAAAATAATATTACGCAGTAAATAATTATTATAAACGTAGGCCAACATGAAACTCTTTGTTGGTCACGAAATGTACATATCGATCGTTTTGTAATTATGTTGTTCCCCTTGTTGGTATTTTGTCTTTCTTCTTATGTTGCGACAAAATCTCTTTGCTCATCAGCTACTGGACCAATTGCTTTATAATTTTCAGTGGCTAAAGATCGTATAGAAAGCTCTTACTTTTATTTATTTCGATAATTTGGAAAATTGGGCTCTATGGGATTCGTTTTTTTTTGTGTGCGATGTCGAAATCAAAATCAAAAAAGTTCGCAACTTGAGGCGGTTCCACGTTCGCTGCTGTCTGGTGGTCAGGCGAATCAGAAGACTGCTGTGACAGATTGCATACCCGTACTACTTCGTTTCAGCCTTCGAGTTCATATATTTGAGCATCACTCGCTTGCTTTATAATTCGAAATCACACAACGACAACGGTAAAGTGAGTATTCCACTTTAACGTTAATAGACATGAGTATTTGAAAAGAGGGCAAGTGATAGGCATAAATTTATAACCTATAATACATATTATGTACAGCGTGAATGATCATATAGATTAGAGTGGTCCAAACCCTGACACGCAGGTCGCTGAACAATCTTAGCGTTTACTAAACCATTGGCGGATATTTGTATTTATTGACAGAATCTTTTTGAGTTCTTTTAGATATTCCAATAAGGTGTGGGATTTTGAAGTTTAAACCTTTTTCCCAGTCCCGATGTCGGGAATGATGTTTGTAAAATCACGGCATTTAAATGTTCTTTCTATAAACGTCAAGACGGTGCCAATATGGAATTGACATCCTGTGATCGGTACAAGGAGAATCAATTGTCTCGTGCAGGCAGGACCCAGCCGATGAGATGAGTCGCAATTTTCATCTCAACTTCGCACCTCAAGCTCGCGTCAAGCAACTCCCTATGAGACACGTTAGTGACATAACGATCGTTTCAATATTATGTTGTTGTTGTTCTTGTTCTTCGAAAAGTTTTTAAAAATTCACTTTTCTTTTTGATTGTAGGACCAATTGCTTTAAAATTTTCAGTAGTTAAAGATGAATTTTTTTTTCTAGAAGGCTATAACTTTTATTAATTTCAAATATTCCTGTGAGCTTTATGGAATTCGTTTTTATTTTGAGCTATGACGTCATCAGAATTTGCCACAATGTGGCGATTCCGCAAACACACATTGATCACGTGATCAGCGAACAGGTTTCGTGGTCAAGCCTGCTGGTACGTTACCGTACCACAGTGAATTCCAGCGTAACGTGTCCATATATTTGAGCATAGCTCTCTTGTTTGAAGAGACGTTTTGTTTAGTAAAAACACTCCTCTATTTACAAGCGTGGGCCATGTGACAGCATCGTTAGAGGAACTGGAAAAGCTGGGACCGTCCACGTACCGTTACCGGTATCCCGATACAGCTAATGGAAAGTTGCCGTACCTATTCTACAGTTACCTGATTTTGGTGGGAATTGTGGTAACAAAAAAATTCGTGTTCATATATTTAAGCATTGCTCAATGAAAATTGTACAGATGTGGACCAATTAAGAGAGAGAGATGAGTGAAGAGTTAATAAAAAGTTTGTGAATGATTTGATGGCTCCAGGTTTTACTAGGTGATTTGTGTTGATTGATGTCGTCACTTTTAGGTTCTGCCATCATAGTTAATAATGTGAGACACTATTCAAGTTTCTGGCGTGGTTTGGTCAGTATTCGAAGTGTCGCTGCTCTATAACCAGTATTGGTCCGGTCTTCACGATTTCGCCTAATCGTCAGTAAACATCCAACTTGAAGGCTGAACCGCCACAAGATGCGCAATTCGTCTTTGATAAGGTTATCGCACTCAAAATAACGATAAATATTTTCAAAGCATTCAGTCCAGTAATTAAAGAGAAAAGCACTGTTTTTATAGCGGTTCCTTTACTTCAGCAGCAGATCTCGTGCTCAGCAAAAGTGGGAACTTTTTGTTGGGGGTACGGTACCGGTGCTATAAGATATTTGATAATACAGTTATGACTTGGATCATTTGGTATTTCAATTAACGTTGAGACTAAAAGAATGGATCATCATCGTCGCAGGATCTGAAAAAGCAGGGGCAGTCAGGGCGGGAATGAATGAATGACTTCCAATGAATTATATTATCAGTTAAACTTTGAATTTGAGTTTTTTAATTTTGTGCAACTATGAAATTACTGAATCAAAATGAACTGAATAAATTAAGTCATTAATTGAGGAATTCTGACAGAATCGATCCAAGTGGAGTATTCTCTCTGCCAACTCAAACGGTCGTGTTTCTGCGACACCAAACCGGTTTAGACAAAAAATATGTTAACCAGGAGGGATGCTGATCCCTGCGTTATCCAATGACAAGAACAACAGCACGGATTTTTGCCACGAAGTGAACAGATGGATCCTTTTGTTAAATTCGTAATTCCAAAAAAAAGTTTTCAAATATATCTTTATCACGGAGACTATTGGTTTAATTTGTACTCACTTTGTGAGGATATATGTTAGGATATCGGCACTCATGTGCGATGATGCTGCCCGTGGCAGGAATTTTGTTTATCTCAAGTATTTATGAAAATCATCGATAAATCAAGTTTATTACGAAAATGAATTATTATTGTTAAATATTCAATTACCTGCAATTCGGCTATTCTTTGTTGCACGTACATCTGCAAGTTATCCATATATTTACGGGCGATCGTTTCAGATTCTCCAATCAAGTTTTTGAGTTCTTTTTTTGATTTTCTCGATAAAAATAATATTTGTTATAGAAATCGTTTATAGCACTCATTCACTCAATTCCAGTTAATTATTTTCATTCAATCTCTCCACATGGCAAGTTAAAACTTGTAACTGTTCAACTAATTTGAATCAGAAAAAGTCTGGATAAATGTTTCCCTCGTGTTGAATTAATGAAATCAAATTTAATTCACTGCTTGAATACCATTTAGGTGCTATGACCTCAGCAAATTACACAATAATAATAAACTCACATATATCCATTGTTTCCAAATTCTTGGATGTTGCTTGGAAGACCTAATTTTTTAATTACCGATGATATATGCAACCAGTAGTATTTCAGATCAGAAAGAAGGTTTGAAAGAATGTAGAATTCCGTGGACTGAAAATAAAATAGGAATTTAAATGAGATCAGTGAAACAATGATCTCCAAGTCACAAGGATGATAGCTGGGCAAGATACTGTAAAAGTATTGACGCTATTCAAATTATAGACAAATCACACGAAGACGGTAGGTCGGTTTTCGTAATTTTGTTTATAGCTGAGCTAGATTCGTGTGTAAAGTTCTGTGTATTTGGATTAGAGTCTTAGAGTTCTAAAACCTAGAGCTAATGAGTCAATACAACAAATATTTTGCAATTGCGTCCTGAATTCGATCTTTCCGATTCTGAGTCGTTATAAAATTGTTATTTAACCCGGATTCGGAAGCTGGAACGAAAGTCAAAATTTCTTTCAAACAGGTCGTAGTTTTAGTAAGCTGCTGTCAGTTCATTTGTACCGAAATTGGTAATATTTGGTAGTCAAGTCTGCAGCTTGGTTTTAAATTATGGCACCTGAGAGGGATGACCATACTCAAGTACTGATCAACTATAACAATCTCATGAAACGCAAAACATAAGCTCTATGCAGTCGCTATCTGTTATTTGGTAACTTATTCGAATCGGCTCAGACAAAAATTTCGAATCGCGCGAATCTTTTTTGTTGTTGTCCGCCGAAGATCAAGGTGAGCACCGAACTTTTTTCATTGAAATCATAATTTTAAAATGCACTTCACATTTAGTTCTTGGAGGAACAATTACAGTAAAAAAACCAGACACATTATCTTCCAACTATTCCAGATTCAATTTGAAAAAATATTTGATTTGATTCTGAAATCACAAGATATTCGAGAATGCCCAGTCCTATAAGGGTTTCAAATATGTGACTTTTGCTTATGTGCTGAATATTTCGCGAATGTCGTTGAATAGTTAAGGCGATCTATTGTAACCTATGCTTGCACCGTCAAGACCATACGCTCCAGTTGGTTGTCTGGACAGTTATGGACGCTCATCGATTTGACTTTTCCTTATTTTGAGAATATTTGACCAAAACTTGTTAAAACAATTGAGTTTTCCATTTATCACTTACTTTATGATTTGACAGTGAAGCTTGAAATCTATTTGCAAAAGGCGGTGCGAGATTGTGTGCTAAATTGGATTAAATATTCGCGTGTGTACACGTACGTTTTGATGCTTTACTACGCGTGCTATGGTAAAGCATTGATAATCTCAGGCATTTTTGACAAGTGTATTCTTGTAAAATCAATGATAATAAAATGTTGATCATATGATACCACGCCGTGGCAAGACTGTGACAAGATAAAGAATGCATAATATTAATCAAATTTCTTCAAGATCTTACATCATGATGTTTGGACAAACAATATCAAGTGGATAAATTTTATTTTGTAATTTATCAAAGCGTACATTATGTTTAGTTTTCGGGCGTTTAGACGTGCCACAAAAATTGAATCTATCGTAAATATGCCAAGTACTGTTTTTTAATTTGCTATTCAGGCACAATCATCGCGCCAGTGATTGATTGTCCCTCTTTTTCTTATATTGAAATTCTTTTAATTTTTAAGAATAATACCGCAATTATAATTTTAGTAATCCAACATCAAGTCGATAGAAAAGTGTAGATTTACTAATTTTCAACAATCCTCTGTATTTTTAGTACAATTTGAAATAAAAAAATCAATTCTTGATTATTTTGCCTAAATAAATATGTAGGCTACATACTGCATATGTGAGTAAATTTATGATACTTACAGTTCCATTGAAGTAGTCGTCGCGCTCTGTTGCAATTTTATGGTCGAAAAAGTTTCCTATTTCTTTATATCGAATGTCCAAAACACTGTTAAAAATGCAGACTATTAAAATAAAAAAGGAGTTTTATTTCAAGTTTAGTTTTTAGTTAAAAAGCGTGTATGTTCGTAGATTTTCTTACGTTTTCTCATTTTAAACTAATAGTTTCGACTAGGAGCAACTTAGTGATATGATCCTACGGATATATCGAGTTGGGAAAATTTCAAACGCATGTACAGTTATAGCGTATACGTTTGCAGACCCTAATTGTGTGAAATATACGAAAAAGCATGCCAGATCATCGTCTGAACTGAATAAACAACATCAATTTCAAGTGCTTAATAAATGTTGTTTAGCAAGTGGTTGAATACCGTTGAATTGGATCACGTTGAAGTGGTTGATTGTATTATCGTATTATATTATCATATAAAGTAAAGACGAATATCGTTTGATGAAAAATCTTACTTGAAACCGTCCTTAAGTGCCGATGCATCTTTTTTTGCTTCTTCTGTTGCGTTTATCAATATGATAGAAGAAATTGATTTCCAGAATACTTTGAATTGTTTTTGCATGATTTGTACAGTATTCTTTTTCCAATTTAGAATTTTGATTCTTGATTTGTATTTTAAAGAATCAAAAATGGATTTTCTGAACATGCAACGCGTAATGGAAGACCCGAAATGAAACTAGTCATTCTGATCAAGTCATTGAAAAAATCATGGAATTATCAAACTATTAATAGTAAAAATATAAAACGCATCCAACAATAAACAGCTGTTCACAAATTTTACCCGTTTTTTTAAAACTATGTGCCGATATTAAGCCAGTTCGAACCATTTTTAAAATCATAATCTATATAAAATCTTCACAGATAAGAATGCTCGACTACAATGTACAATGCTCGACAACTGGCCAAATTGTCACCAGTCCTTACCAACAATTCTTATCTTCAATATTCTGTACAGAGTACAATTTATACATGATACATCTTGATCAATATAGTTACATGATGATGTTGAAATCGTAATGGTGAAAATGAAATCGTACAGGACGAGTAAAATGGAAAACATACGTTTCGTTAATTGACCGCTCATTCATCAGCGTTAGAGATTTCAAAGAAGGAACACTATCCCACAGCTTGTCCGTGTAATTGACACTTAAAATGAAATGTTTCATATTTCAGAAATATTTTTTATTCTTGGAAGTTGCAAAAAATGTACTTTTCACAGCGTCATTGTGTTTTATTTCTCGCTTTAGAGATTAAGCATTTGATATTTCACTCCATCAAAATATGTGTCCGGACAAGTGGTCCTTATATATGAGGATGTGGAAATTACTATAAAGTATTGCGAATGTCACCAGGTATGGGTCCACGCCAGGGGAGCACAGCCCGAGGCGCATAAGATTAAATCTGCGGTCATGCTGAATGAATGATGCAGACAAATCAGAAGTTATAACATAATTAACAGAGTAAAAATATATGACGCTTCATTTACGACTTCTTTGCGTCGTAATAGATCTCAACGCAGAGGACTATCGAACCCAAGACCCCTGGGCTCGCCCCCGGCTGTGGACTAAAACAATCCGCCATTCAAGTTTATATTATATTGGTATTCATGCCGCCGGGTATTGCAAAAAGGTTGTACACACTGGTCTAGACCCTATTGTTAGACATGAGAAATGTATTAATGAGATTATTACTAGGATGTTTTCCTCGGAATTAGACAGTCCAAATACAATATTTAAATCTTTTGGGTTCTACAGTAAAGTTACAATGTACAAGGCTCGACAGTTGTCCCAATTGTCACCATTCATTACTAACAATTTTTATCTTCAATATTCTGTACAGAGTACAATTATTCATGATACATCTCGATCAACATATAGTTACATGATGATGTTATTTGGTTCCAAAACTTTCGCTTGATGCGTTGAACATGGTGAAAATGAAATCGTACAGGACGAATATAAATGAAAAACGTACCTTTCGGTATTTGACCGCTCAGTCGTCAGCGTTAGAGATTTCAAAGAAGGAACAATATCCCGCAGCTTGTCCGTGTAGTTGACTCTTAAAATGAAATATTTCATATTTCAGAAATATTTATATCTGTGGAAGTTGCAAAACTTGTACTTTTCACAGTGTCATTATGTTTTATTTTCTCATTCGAAGATTAAGCATTTGATATTTGACCTCATAAAAATAATGGTCCAGACAAATAGTCCTCACATATGAGACCGTAGAAAGGATGGACTACAAAGTATTGCGAATGTCACCAGGTATTGGTCTAGGCCAGGGGAGCACAGCCTGCAGCGTACAATATTAAATCTGCGCTCATGCTGAAAAAATGACTCAGACAAATCAGAGGTTATAACATAATTAACAGAGTAAAAATGTCTGACAAGTCATTTACGACTTTTTTGCGTCGTAATAGATTTTAACGCAAAGGACTATCGAACCCAAGCCTCCTGGGCTCGCCCCCGGCTGTAGATTGAAATTATTCGCCTCTCAAATTTATATTTGGTATTCATGCGGTCGGCTATAGAAAAAAGATTGTATTGGTGGCATGAGAAATATATTAATGAGCTTATTACTAAAATGTTTTTCTGGAAATTAAAGAGTCCCAATACAATATTTGAATATTATGGGTTTAGCTAGAACGACTTCCTGTCGCTGTGAGTAAAATCAGTGAAATTTGTCTCACGATATTACCTGTTTCCCGAGAATGTTGTAACATATATTGTTATCAATATCATTGAAAAAAGAACAAGGAAAATTGCTCTTCCATTGGAGATGAATGTGGAGACCATTTCAATCAATTGATAAAAAGTAGATATAATAATTGTCCTAAAATCCTGTCAAAAATATCAGAACGAATTTGACATTATTCAATCCGCCAATGATAAAACTGTAGTGCGCAATAAATTTCCATGAATTTAAAGTTCTGCAATGTAAAAATATTATTTGATTATAGTATAATAGATTTAACTCTTGCCAATTTGCTATTCTCCTGTTTGGACGAATTTTAGTTTTATTCAGCTATCTATTTCATATTTTATTTAACAATGTCAACAATTACACGCTTTACGCGAAACCTTGTGCTTCCTAAACCACCCAGATGTTTAAAGTCTTGCATAGGTATGTATATGAGTTAATATGAAAATGGATAATGTATCAAATTGTATCGATTCTGTTCGTTACTGTAATTCTTGCATACACCTAACCTCAACATTTCCTTTGAAGTTTTCCCTTTGAAGAAACAAATTAGGATTATTTTTTTGTACACGATTTTCAACAAAAAATTAGGTAATGCCTACAAAGTGAATTAGTAAAACAATATTCGCAGATATGGTATATCTATCAAATACTCTGAACACTTCATTTAAACCATAAAATGAAAAACAACATAGCCTAAGCTACTATGTTTTCGATATCCAAGGTCATTTGGTAATTTTGAACAAAATATGTCTGCTTTGAAAATTCAATCAACGATCAAATTAAACGAACATTTCTCATATTTTGAACACTCAATATTCATTTAAGTCAAGTGTCACCAAACGATCAGGCAACGTTTTCTGCGAAGAATGTATTCGTACACTCGTGGCGCGTGCTTTCGGCGAAACTTTTGTGATTGTTTACGGTTCTCGGATACGTTTCAGGATAGTTTTCTAGTGATCTTGTATATCGTCACGCTAATAACCGAATTGCGTAAGTCATTTTTAGCAGTTTTGAGAAAAACGTAAAAAACTTCCTAATGATATTGTTATGCCATTGAGAGTCAATAATTTGCCATGGTTCAATTTTTTGATCGTAGCCGGATTTAAGGTAATTTGTATGACGCATTTAAGTGACGTCATAATGGCGCACTGTGACTTAGGCAGAAATGTGTCTATGACTTGGGGACATACGCAATTTTGCAACTTTTCTATATGCACCAGTCCTGAAAACTAAACATTCCAAAATTGAATGTAATTCTGAGTATCTACAATGTCTAATCCCCAAAATAGCTAATCATTTTTAATTACATTATTTTTTTTGTTTAAAAATATATATTTTATCAATATAACACGTTCTACACACCCACCGAAATAAGACTAAGATTAAATATAAAGAATAAAACAGCAATCCACCCAATATAAAAGCCAACCAAGGTGAATTGGACTCGGACAGTGAATATCACAAGTGCACGTCTTCCTATACTGTAGTATAAATTCAAATTAATACGCGCTAAGCTAGAATCCGAGATGCAAAAACTCAAAAATGCTTCGCAGAGGATATTTTGCCTTTGTGACGTCACAGTAGTCCTGCGATAACACTGATAATTCATTATGACGAAACAATTGCACAAATGTGCATGTCATATTAAATCTCCATTTTCATGGGTTTCGAAATTCCTAAAATAAAATCTGAGTTAACAGACAGGTGCGCAGCATTACATAAATACCTATTTTATGAAAAACTCAAAATCGCCAAAAATGACTTACGCAATTCGGTTATTAGCGTGACGATATTTGTTTTGCTGTGATGTTCTTGATCTATATTTGAGATAAAAAATTTAATATTCAAGATTTCAAAGATATCGAATTTCTACTGTTAAATAAATTGAATGGATTTTTCAACCTTCGTGAATTTATTGTATTGCATTGACACAACTATTTGTCCGGTCCGTTTTCAACACAGTTTGAGTCATACCTGTCCCTCGGTCAAAAAAGTTTGGTGACCCCTGATTTAGGTTATTACTATCAAGCGTGATTGAGGAAAATGAACAAGAAATGAAGATCGGACACGTTACCCTGTCAGGACGTTTCAAAATATTTAATTCTGGACGTTGTCTTATAAGTATCCAAGTATCACAAAACGGGGTTGAGATCAAATGCATATTTTCGGAACAATCTCATTCAACGTAGCATTATTTTATTTGGTTTCTTCTTGTTAACACTAGCCAATACATAAACATACGATAATCTATCATTTCAACATTGAAAACTAACATCAGCTCTAGTATGAGTATAAATACTATAATCATGAAAAATAAATTAAATAAGATGAATCTCTAAAAGTTATCGTATATATAAAAAGTTTTTTTCTAAATTCAGAACACAAGACGCGAAAAACCATTAAAAATTATATAGAACGGACGGCAAGTATAGCTAGAAATGGCAATAACATTGATGTATGGATTTGCCTAACAAACACAATGTGCTATACTGAGAAAATACACAGTACGGAGCACAATGTGCTCATCGAGGCAAGTTCATATATCAAAGTTATTGCTATTTCTAGCTATACTGGGAAAGGACACAATAGTTCTATTTCAACAGCTCTCCGTTTTTGCTGAGATGGCGTCGAGTAGTATGGAGCGATCCCCACAGTAAAAAAAAGCATGGGCCGTCGGATAATTATATACTAACCATGTGTAAGATCAAAAAAACATTTCAACTAACATGTACTTCTGGCCTGTACTTTCGAGTGTATTTTCTGACATATAAGATATCTGTACCCTTCTAATGAATATATTCTATTCAACGACAAACTGACATATGAGGTTGCGTGTTTAAACAACATAATTATGTGGATACCAGTACACGCCACTTAGAAATGCAATTAAATTTGAATAAGAAAAATATATTAGCAATACTTGACTTATTGGTTTTGTGATGTTACTTTCATTGAAATTGTCAAAGTCGAGTTAGTCGTGTTGTAGCAGTTGATTTTTATTCACTTTTGTAATATCACCTTTCCGAACATCAGTCTCACTCCTATCTTTCCTCGACGAAGATATCGCAACGTATAGCTAAAACAGCGATATGAACTTCCCTCGATGAGCACAAATCGTCTATGACGTGGGGGTTGCGGAAACGACACAGTAGTTCTAATTCAACGGCTCTCAGTTTTGGTTGAGATGGCGTCGCGTGGTATGGAGCGATCCATTCGACTTCATTACAGACGCCACAGGAAAAAAAAATGTGCCGTAGAATGAATAAACACTAACCATGTGTAAGATCAACAAACATTTCAAATAACAGTCACTTCTGGCGTGTACTTTCGATGTATTTTTGACATATATTTTATCTGTATCTTTCTAATTTATTATTCTATTTCAACGACAAACTGACAACTGAAGTTAGGTGTGTAATCTGCATAGGTACGATACAAATACACGCCATTTAGAAATTCAAAATAATTTTAAGGAGGAAAATATATTAGCAATAGTAACAGATTGGTTTCGCAATGTTACCTTCATCGAAATTGTAAAAGTCGAGTTAACCGTATTGTAGCAGTTTATTTTGTGAATATTGAAAAAACTAACGTAGGTATTAGTTCATACTGATATTTATATATATGCCCAAATATCTTCCTAATCACTCATGAATTCAGGTACATGAATATTCCATGAGATATCCAGTCGAACATGTTTATTAAGCCGACTAAAACACATCTAAATACATTAATGTTTTTTCTGCAGCAAATTGTCCCTGTAATGATTTATGACAGTTTGGTAAAAACCAGTGAGATACGATATCAAAGATTTACAAGTTTGAAAACAAAATTTATACTCAACACTAGGCTTGCACGTAATTTACGGATTTACGGAATTACGGAATTATTTCGAGTTACGGAAGCGAAGTTACGAATTACGTAAATTCGTAATTATTGGTGGAGCGCTTTCGCGATTGAAACGAGCTCTCTTTGGAGCAGTCAATTCCGTCGATTGTAAAAAATTAAAGTTTAATAAGTAGAAGAAGTTAGAGTTCCGGTATTCGCAGCCGTTTTTCTCTCTCTTGTTACGCAGATGGAGAAGGCATAACGCGTTGCCCTATTATTAACCTATTATCAACTTATCTAGCATGGCAAATGTACATATTAAGCGCAGATATGGGATAGAATTGTGTTGAGACCGATGGACGCCAACACACCTGGTTTCAACTTCTTCGGGTGAAATGACTAAAGAATGTAAGAGATCAAACATACCTTACCAAACATGGTCTATTTGTAAATGCCGTGATAATTAATGTCGCGCTTATCAAACAGCAATATGACGACGGAAAAGAAATTGCGTAATGAACCAACGCAACTTTCGGCATCGGTAAAGCGATTCAGACGGCAGAGAAACAACAAAAAGACGGGATTTCCCATGTTTATTCTGCGCGAGATCCATTTTCTATTACAAAATCTTGAGGTTCTGTTACCGGTTTTATCGTTATATATCTGTCCGGACTGGGCCTTTTTTTCACAATGCCTCGCACTATTTCGGCCAAATATGTCTTTACAATATCTTTAAGTCTTTACCAAATGCGGCAACTTATTTTGATTTATCGTCGACTCAAATACCACCGGCACTCGACCAAACTTGTGTCAATCTTAGCCGATAGGATTGTCGACTTGAGTTAGAAAAATTAATTAATATTTTCGTGAGTGCAAAATAAATGTCAACAAATGCATTGTTTTGCGATATAACTTTGTATTTTCGGAGAAGGCATGTCATAAAAGTACGGTATTTAAATTATGCGCAAATAATTAATATTTGATATAAATTTATCGCAAATAATGTTATAACATTTAGGCCGCGAAATGATTTAGTGTAAAATGAAGTATGGTAATCGGAATATCGTCAATAAGTCGGCATCAATAATTATTATAAAATGCTAACTAGGTAGTAAAGTCGGATAATGTAAAAAAAACGGTACAATAACAAGTCTTCGTCGCGAGGCAAGCGCAAGTATAATCAAACGAGAGAATACGCTCGTCGTTGATTTATAAATTAGAAACCCGGAATTTTTATTTAATACGAAACTGTTAATACGATTTAAAAAAAGTCAACTATCG